CTTTGAAAATCATCTCGTATGACTTCTATCTCTCTGCTCAATTTATCATTTTCACTTCTTAAATGATGAATCTGAGCTCCATACTTTGGTAAACAATCTTCTTCTTGGATGTCCTCACTAATACCCTTACCTTTGGTCACTTTTGGTTCGAACCCAATAGGATAATATGTTACCAAACTAGGTTGTCCTTTCAATTCAAACTCCAATACTCCATGATCTAGTAGAAGTTGGACTCGACGTTTGAAGGTAGAACAATTCTCAATAGAATGTCCTTGAATCCCAGCATGATATTCACAACGAACGTTGACGTCATACCAACTTGGATATGGAGGCTGCAAAGGTTTCACATAATGCGGGGCCACTTCTCGGGCTTCTAACAGTTCATCATACAATTCCTTATATGATATTGGGATGGAATAACAACGAGAGTCACCTCTCAACTTGGGTTGAATTGGAGTTTCCAGTTTTATTTCCCCTGATGTTGGAAGTAAACTATCAAACACCAACGAGTTCTGACTGCATGTATTCTTTTCATCCTTCTTAACTTCTATATTTGCCACTATTTCCTTGGCATTTCCAAAAAACTTGTTGATACGAACAATGATTGTGCGTGATTTCTCATACTGACTAGAATCAGCAGGTTCTAAAGTAGTCCCTTGTGTATTTGACACCTCAAGATTGTTTTCATCGAGCTCTTTCTTTTCTTTGGTAGAAGTCTCTCTTCCTTTGGACAAAACATCTATTCTATCCATCATCTTGGACATTTGCTCTTTTATCTCTCTTATCTCATTGTTCTCTTCGTCAGACATATGATCTTTATGTGCGCAACTCTCCACTATTTTCGAAGCTTTCTCAGGATGCCATTTCTTGACTATGTTATAGTTTGTTTGATCACGAAACCCCTTGTCCGTCATGAAAACCTTTACTATGATGACCACTCATAAATCAACACCCTTTGAATATGTCATGATCATGCAATGCGGACAAAGAGAAAAAACAATATAGAAACAAGTTAGTACAAATGAGATAACAAAATGACAAAAAGCAACAATAACAAAATAAATAAATTAATGCTAATAAGAATGCAAATGCAAATGCAAATGCACAAGGTGTTAATTCTAAAAGTGACCACCATAGAACAACCTTCATTTAGACAACAAGAATTCAGTACACTATGTAGTCAAAATATAAATGTGATTCTTCATTTCTTCATTTCTTTGAGTCGTACTCTTCATGGAATCTAATATTGCACTCAAAGTTGTCTGCGTACTTTATCATCTTTGATGACGCCAGATGTTTTTAAATTGAATCTTGAGGTCTCCATTTTTACTTTCAATACGAAGTGATCTTCATGTCTTTTTGAAGGGTATTCTCGTCCTTGGTATAATTGTATCTATCTCTTGAGTCAACATCTTGGCCTTTTCCTCATTAAAGGAAGTCTTCAATCAGCTTGATTTCTTCATTCAGCGGATATCATTCTTCATGATCAGTCGAACATCTTTGGATCTCCCGATTTTGACTACATGGTTGAGAATTTCTTATCTCAATATGTCTAGCCTTCTCATTAGTCAATCACTTGCGAATTAACACCTTGTGATGACATGAAGATGTGAATGCAATAAAATCAAAATAAAATAGACATAGAACAAAAATGGGTTAGTGCACATAATATAAACAACAAAAAATAAGTACCATAAACATCAAATAAAACCTACCCTCACATGCTGGCTACCCAATCATACTTTCGTTGATCCTACCCAACATGATATCTACCCCATACTTTTTCATTCACAAAAAATCCTAACCTCATGATATCTAATTCACATGCTTGTTCGAGAAAAATAAACCTAACCGCATGATTTCTAGTTCGTATACATTTATTCAAAAAGAAAAATTGAATGACTCAAAAAGCTTTTCCTTGTGTACCCTCCTCATTGGACTCTTAAGGTTCGGGTTAAGCTCGACCTAAATTCAAGCTCTATATTCACTATATGCTAGGTTCAGTTCTAAAGTAATAGGTTCTTGAAGGTGCCCCCTTGGGCTGCCGAACCCTCAATCCTGGCCTATCACAGACTTTAGGGGATCGAGTTCAATTTCGAGGGAACACACCTCCTTATGTCCATGCGGAGGTGAATACCATCATGAGGACCATAAGGCGTGAGCTCCAGGAGCAATCCACTATCCCATGCGGAGGTGAAAACCACACGAGGGCATAGTCTCTCACTCCTACTTAATTATGACGGAGTGGGGTTTTAGCTCATGTTATGATAATGCAGCTGTGCAATGTGTGAGGAAAAGCAAAAAAACAAACAATAAAAACACTCAAAATCAATTCTCAAAACACACAATTATTCTGAAACCATTAGCAAACAGATCAATACAACTATTTAATTGTTAATCGAATTAAATTAAAAAAACCAAAATACAAACAAAACTTATTAAAAACCAAACAATTGATCAAAAACCAAATTAAAACGAATTTGTAACTTTTAATTGCAAAGACAATTAATTAATCGACTATCAGCCTGACTCTCTAAAAAAAAGTCCTCAGCGAAGTCGCCAAGCTGTCGAAAAGATTTTCCTTAAAGGTGAGATCTTGAAAACCACATTAATTTTTATTTACCTCTTTCAATTGATTTTTAATTTAAAAACAAATGCAATTTAAAAAACCTCTCGTTTCGAAAAATTTGGGATTTCGTTTACAATGGAAAAATATAGTTCGAAGAGTCGCCACCAATATTTGATTAGGGTGTGATTGGGCACCCAAAAACATTTTTGTTATTTTAAAAAAAAAATTAATTTTAATTAAAACAACAAGTTAAAGTCTGCGTTACCTAAATCGAGTTCGAGAGTCGGTTATGAGTGAAGAAGGATTAGCACCCCCACAATGCCCTAAATTGGTAACTAGTCGATTAATTAACGTCTTTGCAATGAACTTTACAAATTCGAACTTAATTTGGCTTTTGATCCCATAAAAAAAGATATAAATTTAAAAAAACATTTAAAAGTACCCAAATAAATTAAATTAAAATTACCGAGTCGTTTTATAAAGATAAAGAATGTTTGATTATTTAAAAATATCAAGACCATATCTTATATGAGTTGTAACAACCTTTTCTCGAAAAATTTAAATAAATGAACATTTCCTTTTCTTTCATTCCCAAATTTTAGGTAACGAATCGATTTTTTTAGGTTTCACTTTCGGGATACACTTTTAATTTAAAATGGTCAAAACAACCCTCTAATTAGTTAAGACAAGCCACTAAAGATAATTTTAGATTAAAAGGGTATTACCCTTAGTCCAATTATGTATTTATAAGTCGAGTTATGCACATGAGGGTATCATACAAATTGTGCAAAAAAGATGTCATGCCAAAATCAATTAAACAAAATTAAAAATATCATACAACGTGACATACAAAAAATTATATACATATGTTTTAATTATAAATTATATACTATGCATATATCACCATGTAATGCAAAAATGTGACTTAAAAACATTCAATGAAAATATAACATCTCAAACTACAAATTTCGGACAATAATCATGCTTATTTAAATAAGGACTAAATCATATTAACCCAAACATTAGTACCTTAAATATAAACAAAATAATTGAAAAGGATTAAAATAACATAAACCATAAACATACGTGAGACTAAAAGGAAACATGGAAGAAAATTGCAAATCAAATGTCTAAAACTAACGAAAATTAAATGACAAAACATCCGGGACTGAAATTAAATGTGTAAAATATGAAGACAAAACCAGAAACTAAAAACAAATAACACAGGGACCAAAACATAATATGCGTAAACTTAAGAGTTAAAAAAGGGAAAGTCTAGAAATCAACTTGAGGACCAGACTGCGAGCTATTGAAACCTAAAGGGATCACTCGCTGAATTTTCTTAACTCTCGAAATGCCGCCGTTTTGATAACGCCCAAAGCTACGTCATTTTGAACCTAAGACAAAACACCTTGGTGTAATCCTAATCTTATTTGCAAACCTTCTCAGCTCCCACAGAGGCACCGTTCTCTCCTTCCTCTCAACCCTCTCATTCTCTCCTTCCTCTCAACCCTCTCATTCTCTCCTCAATAGCCTCCTTCTCAAACTCACTCTCATGGCAACGAAACTTTGATGACTCTCTCTCTAGGCTTCGAATCACCCTTAATTACTGCCCCTCCGTGCTACATACGCTAAACCCCGAGACCCTTACACTCCGATCTCTCCACTGCTCGACCCCGAGGTAAACTACCTTGCTTCATTTCTTTATTTGCTTTATTTATTTTACATAAATCTGTATACAAGAAAATTTAAAAATTTAAATAGCAAAATCGAACCAATATACCTCTGAAAAATAAGTAATGCTTTGATGGCTTTGTTGTTGCTGGATTTGCCTATGTTTTCCTCAGGTTCTGTCTTCGATTTTGTTATGTCCAATGCTTTGCTGCTGCTGTAAGGAATTTTCTGATATCTTTGCTTTTAAAATAAACACGCACACATGCACGCTTTAGAAATCAAAAAGAGTGATGATGAATTCCTCAAAATATTCTGTTGCTTTCGAAGAAAATGGGGAAGACCCCTGTTACACTGCTTGATCTTTGAATACAAGGGGGAAAATACTGTTTACACTCACTGTTTTTATCTGTTGTTCTGTCGTGTAATACAAAAAAAAAACCAATCCCCACAATCTTTCGTGCCTTTCTCTTAAAAAAATGGTCTCCCCCGGCTCCAATCTTCCCTCCCCGTTTACTCAATTCCTTCAAAAACTGACCCCCACCTTCTTTACAGTTTCTTCCTGATAAATTAAAAAAATTGACCCGATAGCTGCTTTTAGTTTTCTAGGAAGTATTCACGTGGGCTTGAGTTGGACCTTCAATTGCTTAGCTTCGGGTTTGCTCCGATCTAGCCCCAGATAAAAAGGAGCATCTACACTATCACTACCATAAATCCCAAATACAACATAAATCAAGTGGTGTCGAGTCACCAACTATACCTGTACGGCAAATTTCTTCGAGTTCTCCGCTTCACGTATTGTTCTGGCCATGACATTCTCGGTTTCCGCAATAGTCCGAACAACTTTGTCCTTCAATTCTTCAATCTCCTTTTGTTTCGTCTCTAAGAGCTCATTTTTTCTCCACAAGTTTGACCACAGCAGCCATTGATAAGTTACCATCACTCTCGGAGCCAGAATCCGAAGTTGAACCCGAATCTGAATCGGAAAATGCAGTTCGTTTAGCAGCTCTTCTCCTTTTATTAGATCCAGGCATTGTATTTTGGAAATCTAGATTAAGACCCGATTCGACTGTCATATACATGAAAATACTGATTCATCATTATTTATAAAGTTAACAGTGAACAGCAGTTTCTATTGATTGAAGGACTTAATTTAACCTATAAAAAATGCATAGTAGAGATATCTTGTATGTAATTTGACCAGTTATTTATTGGTTGGCTCAGCTCTCTTAGCAGGGCCGAAAACGACATCGCTTGTGATGAGTGGTTTGATTAATTTGAACATTATATTAGTCTCGTCCAGCATTCATGTTAAATCACTACGCCACATTTAATAAACACGAATAAATTTAACAATACGAAATCATTTCGAAATTTAATTGCAAAACGAGTTTTTGTAATAGTTATTATGGGGTCGAGAGATGTTTGTATTTTGTTTAATAATAATTTTAATCCATGTTAATTTAAATATTGTTTCTCTTAAACATGAGATTATATACTTATTAGGTTCTTGTTAACTTTAAATTTGGAGGATTTAACTTTTTTTATTGTCTAATCCTGATTTCATATTCATCTTCATAAATTTGTTCATGCAAGCAAGCAGCTCTAAACTTTTCTTTCCCAAAGGATTACGTGTATGTAAAATGAGTTCGTCAAAAGAAAGAAAGAAAAGTTGATGGAAAATGGTGCATCGCATTTGATACGTGTTGCATGCTTGCTTACTTTATAGCCTATAGAGAAATGCTTACTGCTTTGCCACACGAAACAGTTTTCTGGGTTTTCTGTAAGCGTTACGATTGCATGGATTCTTTATCCCCTTGAAAAAGTAACCTTTGAAGGTGTTGGAAAGCAGTTGGTCCTTATTACATGTCAACACAACAGCTCATTTAGATTATTGCTTGGATCGCATCATCATCATTGATATAAATATTATGTGGGTCCTTATAGCAAAGTGTTGAACGTACATACGAGTATACGTTCGATATACATACGTATTTACACATCAAGATTATTGCTTGGATCGCATCATCATCATTGATATAAAACTAGTTGATCGCAGACAAATGAAAAACATCACTTTGCAAATTGCAGAAGATTGGTAGTGTCGTGAATTGAATGATCATTTGTTTTAAAAGCAATGCTCCTGTCACTTACTTTAAGAAAAAATTTAAAAGTCTCAACAAATCCCATCTGTTTCATTAACTTTCTCCGGTTCTTCACCAACTTGTTTGGTTTTTATATACAAAACCTGCAAGTTTTGGAATGAAAAAGTTAAATGTGGCAATTAAGGCAGTCACGTTGTTGATTTTTGCTTATCTACTTGTGGAATTGCCAAGAATGAGTGCAATGGTGCCTGCAGTTATCGTCTTCGGAGATTCGACGGTTGATCCGGGGAACAACAATCAGATATCCACTGTCTTGAAGAGCAATTTCGCGCCCTACAGTCGGGATTACTTTGGTGGCCAGCCGACTGAACGTTTCTCCAATGGTAGGATTGCCACGGACTTCATTTCGGAAGCCTTCGGGATCAAGCCGGTCATACCTGCGTATTTGGATCCCAAGTATGACATAAGAGATTTCGCTACTGGGGTCTCATTCGCTTCCGCTGGAACCGGTTACGATAATGCCACCTCTGATGTCTTGGTAAGTGGAGTCACAGCCTGCCGATAGTTATGCTGTCTTACGGAAAATTTAAGTCTCATTTTCTTGACCTTGATTTTGCAGTCAGTGATACCATTTTGGAAGGAAATGGAGTACTACAGAGAATATCAGAGCAAGCTAAGAGAGTACGTAGGCAATGACAAAGCTAATTACCTTTTGAGCGAATCATTGCATCTTTTAAGCATAGGAACCAATGACTTCCTAGAGAACTACTACACTTTTCCGACCCGATCTTCGCAGTATCCAGTCGATAAAGACGAGGATCTCCTGATAGAAATCGCCAGCACTTTCATCAGGAAGCTTTACAAGTTGGGAGCTCGGAAGGTAGCAATAACCGGCCTTGCTCCGATAGGATGTTTACCATTGGAAAGAATGACGAATATCATGCACGGAAGCGCATGTATCGAAGAGTATAACAATTTGGCTAAAAATTTCAATGTAAAGTTACAGGGGACTATCACAAAGATGATTCAGGAACTTGGTGGAATCCAAATTGTGATGCTGAACACCTACGACAAACTCTTAGAAATGATTCGTAATCCGACTTGGTTTGGTAAGCCATTTTAGTCCCCAAGGTCGAGCGTTCGGTATGCATTTCCGACCTGCATGTCCCCTGGTGTGAGAGCACATGCATTAAGGCATGCGTTTTCAACATATACGAAATTGTTTACTATTATGACAGGATTCGAGAGAATGCAGAAACAGCATGCTGTGGGACTGGATACTTCGAGATGAGTTACCTGTGTGACAGAATGAACCCGTTTACATGTTCGGACGCCAATAAATACATATTCTGGGACTCGTTTCACCCGTCAGAGAAGACGAAATTCATTATGGCCGATCATCTCGTCAAAACAGCCCTTGCCGTGTTCGATAATCATTAAAAACCAAAAACAGGAAGCACCTGTCTGTTCATTGTTGCAGAAGTACTAGACATACTATTATTATAATTATTGCATTTTTAATTGCAGAAGTAGACATTAGTGGCTCAAAGGGGAGTAAAAGGGGCTTCTTGTGCTTGTATTTCAACAGAGAAAAAGGACACAATTGACGAATGGTTTATTCAAAATGAAACAACTTCTTGTTGGAGGTTGGAGGTGGTCATGATCATGGTGGAAACAAAGGTAATAACATCAATGGTGGTGGGGCTGGCAGAACTTGAATTTGAATCTCCTTGTTCAAAGTATTCAAATAAATAGAAATTTCTTGATGATAGGACTGCAAATTCTCCAAAAAGAAAATGATGGCTTCTAGCACAAATAATATTTGATTTCTAATTTCTAAATCATGATCACAATCTGCTACGAGAAAATAATAAAAGGATCCAAAGGCTTTCAATAACAGAAGGGAAAATATGCATATTTGGTACTTAAAATTGGCTTTAAATACAATTTAGTATTAACTTTTTTCCAATTAAATTCATGAACTTAACTTTAAGATTCAATTTGGTACCTAAAATCTTTTGTGACTAATTAAATCCGCAAACTTAATTTATTGATTAAAATTAATATTTTAACTTCACTTTTTTGTACTTGCAGTAAATGACCTATTTGAATCAATTTATACTATAAAATAAGTACCAATTTGAACTTAAAAAACAAATTCAAATATCTAATTAGACAAGAATTTTTTGAATGACAGATTAAACCATAAAATCAAGTTCAATTACTTTATTGATAAAAATAAATTATGCATAAAATTTCAATAAGAACAAATTCAAGTACCAAAATATAGACGAATAAAAATCCCCCAGAACTATAACAATTACAGCAAAAAATTTACGAATTCTTTTTTCTATAGCATTTTTAGCGATAATTTACAGGTCTGAGTATCAAACCCACAAAATCTTTGATCCAAAAACTTAATGAAGAACATTGTTGTTTACGAAAAGTCTAAATACTAAACATAAAACTCGCCAACTAAACAAGAACAGCTCTAACAGCTAATACAAATGCAATCTTACAACAAATTTGGCTCAAGATTGATGATCAGAATCAAGATTTTTGTTGAACAAAATCCAATTTTGATCGTCATGGTCTGTATGCCGCGGCGAAATTTGTAGGTCGTTAATCATAGGGATTCCTGAATGTCTTCAAAAGTTCGGGGATGTCGTAACCCAACATGTCATCAACGGCTTGAATCATTTTAGGTTTCAGTTTCTCAAATTTGTCAAAGTTGTAACCACTCAAAACCTCCCTAAAATGTTCCACATTAGGAAAATCCCCTGGTGGTAGGTGATTATCTCTTTGAACCTGTATAGCAAATAGATTTGTGAATAAGCAACTGATGCATGATGAAAGAATTTAGTGTCGATGTAAAACTTGCAAGATACATGCAATCGTGTGCACACTAAGAGAAGAGACGAGAAGAGAGAGGATACTTTTCCGAATTCGGTTTCCAGATTATCAATTAGTTTCTGTTGAGTTTTCGCTTTCCCTATCATAGAAGGCATTTCCTTCTTAAGATGACCAATGATGTGAGCATGTATCTTGGCAGCTCTTGCACGTTTCACAAACTCATTTATCTGCAGGTAAACAATGTACGAAAACCCCTCTTCAACATGAATCTCGTCAGAAAAGAGACCATTTTTTTACAACAATAGTAAAAATAAACTTACTCGACGATCACATGCCTTCTTCGGAATATCTTTAAGATCGGAAAGAAGGTCCTCCTGTTCTTTTTCAAACAATTCTTTCCCGATTGGACCTGTTGCGGCTTCATTTACAGGCTTGTCATTGAATGAACTGCCAAAGAAGAGAGATCAACAACAGATGAGACCAAGATGGTCAAGAAACATTGGAATGCATTCATTTCATTCTTTACGATAAAGATTGACAAACAGAAAAGCATTACCCAATATATACACGCACAACCTCAGGGGTATTAAGGACTTTCCCAAGTGACCACATTAAGGCTCCATATACCCTCATCAGCTACAGTAGAAGGAAAATATATAAGCTCAGGAAGATCCAAACATCAAAAGAAAGATTAGTAGTCAGAAACAAGGCTGCCATAATGCTTACTTGTTGAGTATCAACTTGATCTGCTTTGTTCAAAACCACGCGAATCTTGTCATCGTGACCACGCAAAGAATATATTACACGCTTGAATTCGTCACTTACATCTAACTTGTGAGGATCAAACAGAAGAAGAATAAGATCGCACTTTGCTGCAAACCATGATGTTACACCTGTAAAATCATAGGATCGTTGTGTTCGTTGTTTTTCTCCTGATAACACTCCAGGAGTATCTACAAATGTTATGTGCTCCAACAGCTTCAGACATGAAAAGAACATATTAAATTCTATATAAGCAGAAAATTAATTATCACAGTAAACTAGACCAGAACAATTAACTCACAGGGTGTGGCATTTGAGAACACTCAAACTTTGACAAAAAT